CGAGTTTGAGAGGTGTACATACCGTTGTTGTCTGTGCACGAGTTTAGGTGCAGTCGTCATCGATGTCGTCTACACTGTATGGATCTTGCATAAGGTAAGGTAAGGTAAACTTCTCCACACACACGAGGTGGTGGGGCAAGGGGGGGCAACCCTCGCGTCTCCACGTCTGACGACAGGAGCCCCACGGCATTCAAAGTGCAAGGCCCAGTGCGCGTGGGTGAGCGGTGTGTGTGTGTGTGTGTGTGTGTGTGTGTGTGTGTGTGTGTGTGTGTGTGTGTGTGTGTGTGTGTGTGTGTGTGTGTGTGTGTGTGTGTGTGTGTGTGTGTGTGTGTGTGTGTGTGTGTGTGTGTGTGTGTGTGTGTGTCACGTCACTGCATCCTCCGCCGGTTCCTCCCGTCGCCTCTTCTTTGTTCGAATGTTTTTCAATCCATCCTTCACGAAGCCCTCCCATGTAGCTAGCGTTCTTGGCGAATGTCTCGAAATGGCCAGCAGGCGCTGTCTGCTCGCGGTCTGTGCGGGCCGCTCGTCCTCCTCGCCCTTCTTTCGTCCTCCCGTCCCTCCCCTCCACCATGGCCTTCTCGGCACTTCTTTCTCCATCCGCCTCGCCCTGCCTTTTCGCATCGTGCCGTTCGCCCTCCATTCGGTGACCTCCATGGCTGTCCGCCCCTTTTTGGGTGGCGCTCTCGATACGGTTGCGTCAACCTCGACGTCGCTGTCGCCCTCCCCGTCCCCGCCGGCGTCCGTGCCTCGGTTCGCGTCATCGGTAGTGTCTCCGTTGTTCCCTCGTGCCCCGCCGTCGCCCTCTCTGCTCGGGCCGTTAGCGATTTCGCTCCTCCTGCGTGTCGCCCCTCCGTCCCCTCCCCTTTCTTCGTCGTCATCGTCGCTGTCGCGAAAGCCCTCCGGTCCCTCGATTCCCTCGCCTATCCCCTCCGCTGCGTCGTCCCAGTTTATATCCTCATCCTCTGCGCACGTCGCGTTGGCTTCCTCTCTCCCCCTTTCCTCCCTGCCCCTCTCGCTGTCTGGTGTTAATGGACCCCCTTCCTCTCCCTCGCCACCGTCACCGTCTCCATCCCCGTCGCTACCGCCCTCCATGCCCGCCGCCCTTTGTTTCACACTCGTCTCTGCCATGTCCGCCGTCGCCGCCGTCCTGTCTGCTGCGCTCTGTGCTCCGTGGTACAGTCGCTTATTGTTGCTCAGGATTAGCTCACGCACCAGGACAGCCTCCTGCTCGTTATTTTGGCTTGCCGATATGCATCCAAAGTTCCACGCTAGCTCCTCCTTCGTCACGTCTATCTTTTTGCAGTATCTCGCGAATGCCGTCCGCGCTTGCTGGGGTGTTATTGCGTTCGGATCCGCCCTGGTCCCCGCCCTGTATCCCATCTCCTTGCGGTGGCTCCTGTATGAGTCCCCATATGACCATGTGATTTCTTGGCCTTCCTTGACTCCCCTCTCTGCAAACAGGACCATCACCTGCGCAGCTGCCTTGCCTAATTGTATCTCCTCGTAGCGTACGAAGTGCGTCGCCCTCGTGCCTCGTTTCGGCTCATTCGATGCTGCAGGCCAGTCGAATTTACACCGCGCCGCGACGCTGTCAAAGTCGTCCCCGCTCTCGTCGTCACTTCCATCCAGCTGCGTCCCCCCTGCTGCCGTGTGTCGTGATAGTTCGTCTGGTACTGTCTCTGGTGGCTGCGCCGTTCCTGTCCGGAAGATCTCCCCAGTGTAGATGCTACACACCTCAAATTTCTCTAGCCTCCTCGTCGCCAGTAGGCCGAGTTCCCCTTCCGCTATGCTAGAGGGGCCTACCTTCGCCCCTTCCACCGTGCCGCCCGTCGTTAGCATGGCCGTCGTTACTTTCGCCGCCGCCTCTGCTGCTTGTCGGCGGAGCGCCTCGCGCCTTCCCTCGTCTCCATGCTCCTGGTCTTGTTCTTTTTGTTTTCCTGCGCTTCCTGTCGCTGGTCCGGCGACGTATCTTGCCGTCTGCCTTCGCTTCCTGGCGGGCCGCGTTTCCTTCCCCTCGTCCCGTCTGTTTTCTCCTGCGTGGTCGCCCTCGCGTGCGCCGCTCGCCGTCTGTTCTCCTCTCTGCTCGCCGTCCTCGTCCCCTCGCTGTCGTCGCTTCCCTCCGGCGCTCGCCGCATCGTCGTTCCTATCACCGCGTTTCCTGCGCTGGCCTTCGCCTTCGAGCTCGCAGTGGGTCGTTTTGAGTGTCATCCCCATCGCTCTCGTCGTTCTGCCTCTCCCCGCTTCGAGGATCTTGCATGGTGTGCGCGTGTGACTGCGAAAGGGCGAGCTGCGCACCCACACTAACCACTACGGCGTACGGGTTGTGATGAAAATGAGACATTAGAAATAACATGCCTCCGGGTTGCGGGTACGTGAAATGTCTGATGAGCCCCCGCGCCTCACGGTGGGCGGTTCTGCTCGGGCGCTGCAAGGTAGCGACGCAGCCGCCGGCACTCGACGTTCCTGAGCCCGAGCTGCAAGAGCTCTGCATCGGAAGCATCCTCGAGATCGGCCACCTCCTCGTAGCCAGCCTCGCGCAGCACCTGTGGCAACGTGAGCGGCTGTAAGTGGACAGATTCTCCACACGCAGCGCGGCGTGGGGCCAAGTCCCCCGCGCCTCGGCAAGCCCGGGCCGCCGGGTCAGCTTTGCGCTCGCCAAGAAGGCCTCCATCTGCGAGATCCCTTCTCCGCTGCCGCCGCCGCTGCCTCCACCGCTGCCTCCACCGCCGCCACCGCCTCCACCACCGCCACCGCTGCCACCTCTGCTGCCTCCGCCGCCTCTGCCGCCTCCGCCCGCCGCCGCCGCCTCGCCGCCCTGCACCCCCTCGGCGACGCCGTTCTCCACCTCCCCCCCGCCAAGCGCGCCGCGGCCGCCGCCCGCCGTGTCCCCCTCCTCCTCCGCCTTAGGCCCGGCGTCCGGCGCCGCCCTGCCGTCTTGCTCCACCGCCGCCCTGCCGGCTTGCTCCACCGCCGCCTCGGAGCGCAAGCGAATGATGTCGAGTAGCTGAGCTGCCTGCAGAGGGCGGGCACGCGGCACACCGTCACCGCGAGAGGGGAGAGGTTCGGCTCGGACGAGCCCCTCCTCAAGCGGCCTGCGCCGGCATCCCGCCCGCCGTGGGCTCGACGCCGAGCATCGCGTGCGCCCGCCGCAGCGTCGTCCCAATCCCCTGTTCTCACACCAGCAGCGCCGTGAAGCGACGCTGTTCACAGCTCATCGCCGCCTGGACGAGGCGTCCGCAGGCAGGCCGAGCGTCTCTAGGAGGTGTCTAGGAAGTGTCTAGGAGGTGTCTAGGAAGTGTCTAGGACACCTCGTCCGCAGGCAGGCCGAGCGTCTCTAGGAGGTGTCTAGGAAGTGTCTAGGAGGTGTCTAGGAGGTGTCTAGGACACCTCGTCCGCAGGCAGGCCGAGCGTCTCTAGGAGGTGTCTAGGAGGTGTCTAGGAGGTGTCTAGGCGAGACACCTCGTCCGCAGGCAGGCCGAGCGCGTCCTGGAGCAGCCTGACCCTGGAGCGGAAGGTGGGCGCTGGAGCGACGGCGGACTCATCGCTGCGCTCCTCCGCCTCGCGCGAGCGCTGCGTCCTCTGAAGCGCCTCCGCCCTCGCCTCCTCCTCCTCCCCCGCCTCTGCGGCCCCGCGTGCGCCCTCCGCCGCCGCCTGCGTCGCCTGCGCCGCTGGCCTCTCCTTGGCGGACGGAGATGCCGCCCTCGCCCTCTCCGCCCCAGCCTCCGCCGCCCGGGCCGCCTTGTCCGCCTCTGCGCTCCTCTCCACCTCCACTCTGGCTGCTGCTGCGAGCGACGCCGCCCCCTCCGCCGACGCGCCGCAGGCAAAGGCGTCATGGTCGTACTCCCAGAGCAGCTCGGCGAGAGCCCGCCCCTCGTCCTTGGGCGGCGGGGCGCGCCGCCCGCCCTCACTGGTGCTAGCACTGGTACTGGTGCTGGCACTGGCGCCACGCCCCGCGCGCCGAGCCGCGCCACCGTTGCTGCCGCCGCCGCTGCTTCGACCGCGGCTGCCGTCACTGCAGTCGGCGCGCGGCGACGGCGGCGGCGCCCACGCGAGCCGCTCTGCCTCCAGCACGGCCTGTGCTCGCCGCAGCGCAGCCGCGTCCACCGCCTCCAGGAGGCCTGTGCTCGCGCGCTCCGCCTCGGCGTCTGCGGCGGCCTAATCTCGGACAATCTCGGGTGCGATCTCGGGCCATCTCCGCCTCGAGCGGCCGCGCGAGCAGCGCCTCCCGCCGGGCCTCCCGCTCCTTCTCCTCCTCCTCCTCCTGCCGCCGCCGCTCCGCCTCGCGCCGCGCGGCGGCCGCCTCCTCCTCCCTCGCCCGCTCGGCGCGGCGGCGCCTTCCCGGAGGCGCCTCCTCCTCGGGCGCAGGCGGGGCAGTCTCGCGCGCGCGCCGCGGCGTCGCAGCCCGCGCGGCGTTTGCGCGGCGGCGCGGCGTGAGCCTCTCCGCTTCGCGGCGCGCGTGCGCGTCCGCCACGAGCTCCGCCTAGTATCGGGGGTGGTCTCGAGTGATCTCGAGTGATCTCGAGTGATCCAGGGCGATCTCGGGAGATCTCGGGAGATCTCGGGAGACCTCGAGTGATCCAGGGCGATCTCGGGGGCATCTCTCGCCCGCTCCGCCGCCACGAGATCGAACGCCACGCGCTCCCGCCCACGGGCCAGAAAGACCCGCCGCCGCGCCGCATTCAGCCAGGCGAGCACAGCAGCGCTAGAGGCGAGGAGGGCAGCCGCCACCAGAGCGGAAGCCGCGCCCACGAGCCCACCGACGACGCGCACGCAGACTTGCCTCCAGCTCTCACGAACCGCCTGCCCGTCGGCCTGCGGTATCAGCCGCCGCCGGAAGAGGCGAAGCAGCCGTCGCGGAATCAGACGCCACAGGGGCAGCAATGCTAGGTAAATCGAAGTGACGCCACAGCCAGCAATGCCGACGAAGGAAGTCAAAGTGTTGAAGCGGGCAAGCATCAATTCCAAAAGTGGCGATTCCCAGGCATTGACCGCCGGTCGCTGCTCGCTGAGATCCTCCCAGCGGCAGTCCCGGAGCGCACCGTCCGCGAAGCGCAGCTGGAGCCCCTTGCCTAGTGAGCGAACACCAGCGCCAGGGTGTGAGTGTGCGGTACTCTGCAGTGTATTCCGGGCATCGCTGGACCTCCAGGGCTACGCATGCTCAACACGTGCCCTCTCGAGCCCTGGTCAGAAGACGACCGGGGCCTCTCTTCCGCATCTAGGGCACGTTGCCGACGTGCTCGTCCATTGCAGGACCAGCCACCTCGCCGGGCTCGTCCCGTGAGAACCCTTCCTCGCGGCAGAACCGCCGATCGCCGCGGCGGTGCCCGTCCGACAGCCTGGGCGGGTCCCGGGTGAGGGTGGTGAGAAGGCTGTCGTAGCTCTTCTTGTTGCCGTTGAACAGGAGGGCGAGCCCCTTCCCGGCGTAGTCGTCGCCGCCAGCGGGCCCGGCAACCACGGCGCGCGCTCCATACACGAGGCGGTCCCCATTCTTCTTCTTCTCCGCGCCACCCGTGTAGTAGACCTGCTCGCCCACCGAGTAGCCCCCCGGCAGGGGCGGCGGCCGGTCCGGGCTGAGCTCGGAGAGATAGCAATCGATGCTCTCAGTGTTGCCAGGGAACATCACCGCGACGTCGCCATCCTCCCCGACGACGCGCCCAGTGACCACGCCGCGCTGGCCGTGCACCTGACAGGGCCACGGCGTGCGGTCAAGGTGGCCCCAGCGGCGCTGTGTGTGTGTGTGTGTGTTGATGGGTGGGTGGGTGTTTTTTTTGGGGGGGGGGGGGGGAGGCCACCAGCTTGTCCCCCTCGGCGAAGAACTCGCTTGTCCCGAAGAACCAGCTTGTCCCAGAAAAGTAGACGGAATCGCCGACATTGTACCCGCCGGGCAGCTGCGGGGGCTCCCGGCTGAGCTGGTTGAGGAAGACTTGAACGGTTCCCTTGTTGCCGTCGAAGAGCACCGCGAGGCCTTTGCCCTTGTGTGATGCAAGAGTCGCAGGGCCGACGACTGTGCCTCTCTCACCGTTCTCGAAGGAGGATGAGGAGCCGCTGAAGTACACGGTGTCGTCCAGTGCAAACCCACCAGGTAGAGGCGGAGGTCGCTCGCGGCTGAGCGTGCCGAGGTAGCAGCTGACACTCTCGCCTCCCCCAAAGCGCAGCTGCAGGCCCTCTCCCCAATACTCGCCTTCGCCCGGCCCGGCGACCACGCCGAGCGCGCCATGAGTCAGACGCGTGCCGCTCTCAACGGTCCGGCTTGTCCCGTTGTAGTAAAGACGGTCGCCAACAGAATGGAGCCTCAGCTGCGGCGATGGCGCGAGGCGCACCTTGGCGGAGACGACTAGCTCATCGTCGAGCAAGAAGCCGGAGGAAATCACGTCTTTCAGCGACACCATGCCAGGCCAGCCCCAACTAATCGATTGTGAGTCGAAGCGATGACTGTTGGAACCTATACGCGCGGCAGAGCTCCGTTAGTATCCTCCTACTCTGGTCTGGTTGTTGGCGCCGTTCCGCTGCGCTCGTTTCGTAACACTGCGTGTGACCACCTCGAGGTGGTTCTTGACCGTCAGCGTGAAGGACGCATGCCGCGCCCAGCCCTCCGGCAGCGTCGCCGAGTCGGCCGCGCTGAGGTAGAGCGAGAGCTGCCCCTGCTGATCGTCGCCCTTCGGGTAGAGATCAAGTGTCCTGCGGCAATATAGGCGTGAGACGTGGGGAGTGGCACGCCCCAGGAGCATCCCATCCTCGAGGCGGCCAAGGGAATTTGGGGTGAGAGCTGCGTCGCACCAGTTGAATGCTCCGGCCTGGAAGGTAGGAGAGGAGAGCTTCGTCTCCTCGATCTTTGAGAAGCCCGGGATAGGCCATGTGTACTCGCCGGAGGGGGGGGAGGGCAAAGGCTCCCGGCTGAGCTGGTTGAGGAAGACTTGAACGGTTCCCTTGTTGCCGTCGAAGAGCACCGCGAGGCCTTTGCCCTTGTGTGATGCAAGAGTCGCAGGGCCGACGACTGTGCCTCTCTCTCCGAACATCAACACATCTCCGTTGTCGAAGGAGGATGAGGAGCCATTGTAGTACACAAGGTCGTCCGGCGCAAACCCGCCAGGTAGAGGTGGAGGCGGATCTCGCGTGAGATTGCGTAGGTAGCAGACTCTGGGGAGCTGGTTGTGGGCGAAACGCATTGCGACGGCCGTGCGGGCGAAATCACCAGCCGCTTGGCCAGCGACGCGTCCTCTCCAGCCGTAAACGAGCCGGTCGCCATTATCAAATTTCGTGCCTGTGCCGTTGTAATAGAGCTCTTCGTCCAGAGCAAAGCCAGTGTAATAGAGCAGGTGCGGAGGCTCCCGGCTGAAAGGGTGTTTGTTGAAGAACAGTTGAACGTTTCCCTTGTTGCCATCGAAGAGCACCGTGAGGCCCTCTGCTGCTCTTGCAGGGCCGACAACCGTGCCTCTCAATCCGAATTCCAGCCCATCTCCGCTCGCGCCGGCATAGTAAACAGTGTCACCCACCAAGAACCCGTCGGGCAGCGGCCGCGGCGGCCGAGAGCTGAGAAGGCCGAAGTGCACGTCAGCGTCGGCCTCGTTGCCGGGAAAGCGCACGGACCACAGGAGAGGGTCAGACGCCAGCCCAATCACTCTTCCCCGCCGGCCATGGACAAGCTCGTCACCGTTTGGGAGGCGCTCGCTGCTGCCGACGTAGTAATAGCGCTCGCCGACGAAGGTATCGGAGAAGAAATCATGCATGCCGTCGTAGGCATCGGAGAAGAAATCATGCATGCCGTCGCCGGAGAAAATATTCTTTAAAATGTCGTCAACGTCGAAGGAGAAGCCATCATCGTCGTCAGCGCTGAGCATGGAGCCGTCATCGTCGTCAGCACTGAGCGCAGCGCAGCGCAGCGCCGGCGACAAGAAGGCCAGCAGCAGCAGCATCGATGGACGGTCACCGTTTGGCGCTCGCTGCAGCCGGTGGTTAGCGAACGCGAGAGAAGGAGCTCGGTGCGCGAAGAGACTAGACAGGCCAACCACACGAGGCGGCGCGCTTTCAAGAAACACAAACCTGCCGAGGTGAGCGATGAGTGAACGAAGCGGCAGGAGAGAGAACGACGAGAGTGTAAGGCCGCGAGGTGGCATGAAGGTTGCTGCGAGAATTGGCGAGAGATTGCGAAGAGAGATAGATAGGAAGAGAGAGGCCGTGCGTGGGCGACGGCTAGCACCAACCACACTTCCTCTCCTTAAAATCTCTGTGTGGTGGCGGCGTGCCGTCCTCCCATCCCTCCTTCCCTCTCTCTCAGGCTGCGATCGGATTTTATCTTATTCGCGTTGCTTGCCCGCCAAAAAAAGTCAATTCTTGACTTGGGCCCTCGGCCTGCGGGCGGCCTTCTCTCGAGGTCTCGAGATACACAAAACGGCCAATCGCGTTGCTGCTTGCAGCTCTCGAGTGCGGTTACTTACATCCGCGGAGAAGGGGCAACTCCGTGCACTGACGGTCGGCCGCCAGGAAACACGCCTCCGTCCGTGGCTCGGGTTACACCAATCCTCGCTACCCAACGCGGCCAAAGGATATCCACCTCGAGAACCTCGAGAGAACATCCGCATGGGTGGGAGAGTGAGATTTTCAGACCACTCTTCTCCATACTCTTCTCCATCGTTCGATGTCGTTGATGAGACACATATGTCGAGAAAATCGGCGAAAAGATCGGCTTCCCGACGCGTACGACGACGACGGTCACGACCCCCTCGCCCCTCAGTCCGGCGCTGGCACCCGTCAAGAAGAAGAAAGCCCCGGCTTCGGCTGTGGGCTGACAAGCTGCCGAGCCCAAGTCACTGAGAGAGTCGTGATTTCTTGTTGGTTTTCGAAAATCTCCCGTCAATCCCCGTGGTTCGAATCCACACAGGCCGAAGGTGATGGGTTCGCGTGTCTGGAGGTCTGAAGCCCACCCATTGAGGAAGTGGGGCACTGCTCCGCCCACCCTGATCATGCTGAACAAGCTCCTCTTGTAGCTCGATCGGTCACACCGCCATCGCCGTCGGGGAGAGGGGGGACGACACTGCTTCGGCAGCGTGTACCTCGATCCTGTACCGTGTTTGTTATGGAGCGAGTGGCGGATAAAGTCGTGTGAAAGAGCTGTGAAAGCGAAAGTATCGAAATTAATTGCCCGCCGCAGGCGAAGAAAATTTTCAGGGTTTTTTGGTCCCCTACGCCGAAGAAATCGAAGATTTCGGCGGGCGCCCGACGCGGTATGGATGGAGCACGCGCGCTGCCCGGCATGCCTGCAGCATCCAAACGAGACGCACGGCGTCGCTCAGCCGTGTCCACGCGGCTTCGCTCCTGTCCTAACCGGCGCCATCTGGGCGGCTGCTGCGGAGCTGCTGCCGGCGGTGCGGCAACTGGCCGACAGATACAACGCTCAGGGCACCCGCCGGCGATTCACTGGAAAGGAACGAAGGCGCCGCTGTCGGCGATTCACCGCCGTTCGTTCCCGTCTCTCAAGCTGGCTACACCGTCCATGGACGAGGGAGACGTCGACTCCTCTTTCGTCCCGGGCACTGTTCGCGCCGGAAGGCACTGTACACTGCGAAGTACATTAACCTTCATCCCTCCTACCGCCGGCCGGGAGTGCAGCCTTCGCCATCGCTGAGTGAGATTATCCTCGACTTTGGCACCTGCGAAGTAATGAACAACATGCAGTACGTCATATGCAATGGCGCTATGACAGCCCTGCGATGGGCGTCCTCGACGCAGACGAGGCGGAGCTCATCTGCACGGCGCAGATCGCCGACTTTCTCTCTCTCCCTGCGCGAGTGGTTGCGCCACCGTGGATGAGGCATATGGGCTGGGCAGGGGAGTTGGTAGAGGAGGTCGACTGAGGGCGCGAGGCCGCCAATCGTCACAGTCTGCTGCTGACTGTCTGTCGCTGACAGGTTGCGCATTGCGCTGGCCGCGCAGCGGCCTTTAGAAAATTTTGGCCGCAGGCCTAGGTTTTGAAAGATCAAGAGAATAAGCGCCGGTGAGGCTTTGAGAAGCTGCCGTTTGCGGCTTCCTAAGTCAACTTTTCGAGAGGAACGTTTTGGCTGAGCTAAAACTTCTCCAAAGTCGCGCGCGATCATCGAGTTTTGAGTCAATAATTATGAAAGGAAAGGGAGAGGGAGAGTTTTAGCTCAGCCAATCGATTCAGCGTGCTCTGAAACGCCCAAAACCGTCGAGTTTTTCGCCGTGGTCCAAACAGAGAGCTTAATATTTTGATTTTCTTGGCCACGGCCACGATTACCCGTCACTCGCTCTATGACCCCCCCCAATGAACACACCAGTGAGGGAGGGCGAGACGATCGAGGGGTCCCGTACCATGCGGAATCGACCCCCTATCCAGTGCTCAAGTGCTCAAGCTGTACGGAAGGCGGAAGCGCCGCCTGCTCCTCTCCCATGTTCACGCAAAAGCACAACCCCGGGCCCTTGCCCGAAATCGCACAAACAGTGACAGTCAGACACGAAACGCGGGCGGTCCCAGGGAAGGCAGCAAATACCTTATCGCGCGCGCCAGACGCCGACACAGAGGCCGACACAGAGGCCGCACCACCAACCATCTCAGGCGCGCGACCTCGAGCGCGCAACCGGAAAGAGTGTGGCGCTCAGTCGCCGCACGCATGCAGCGAGCGCCTCTCCATCATCTCCGCCTCATACGCCTCCTCCTCCTTGTTCTCCTTGAGGCGGAACTTGGAGAAGGCCCAGCTTTTTTTTTCGCGGCTCGCTTTCCGAATGGCGGAGAGAGCGTCTCATAAACCTACAGTCCCTCTAAAGCCACCCATTCCACGCCATTTGGCCGCGTCTCCGCGCATGTCCCCGCCTTTGCCGCCGCCGCCGCCGCCTTCGCCTCCGTGCAGCGGCCTGGCTGGCCGCACGCTGGTCCCCGGAGGCGGCGCCTGCAACACGTTGAACTCCGGCGGGGGCCCCCGGGCCCCGGGGGGGCGCCCCCCCCACAGAGCGGGAGAGGCCGTTCGCAGAGCCTTTTCCTCGGCTCAAACAACGCACAAGCTAAAGATGTTACCGCAGTATATATGTACACGCTCCGTGTGGGGGCCCGTGAACACCTTTAGCCCGTGGATCCTCGAGATCCGTATCCGATACATATCCCGTCGGCTCGGGGTGCGGTCGGGCGCTCGGGGTCGGGCTCGGGGGCCGCGCCTCTCTCTCCCGCACACATGGCGCCGCGACTCACACTTGGCCACACGGAGTCCTCTCATGCGTCCTCCGCGCGCGCCACACCCAACGCCGCGTCTTCCCGCCCACCCCGCCCCCTCCCCCTCCACCGCGGCTCATGAGACGGAGCCCAGCTCCTCCTCGGGGCAGCGCAGGATCCGCTGCACCTCCGCAGCGAGCGCGCCCACTCCGGCGCCCTCGGCCTCTCCCTCTCCGTTCCCCGCGCGGGACACCGCCCGCTCTATCAAGGAGAGCTTGCGCAGGTAGAAGTCCCGCTCGTCCCTCAGCTGCTGCATCTCCTGCGAGGGCCGCCCACAGACGCGCAGGCGTCAGCGCGGCGCACGCGCTACGCGCCGGAGAGAGAGGGGCGGGGAAGGGGGCGGCTTCGCGCCGCCGCTCGCCGCTCCGCAGCCGCCCTCCGAGCAGCGAGCGCCGGCTGCAGCTCCGCCAGAGCGGCGCTCGTCAGCGTCTCTGCTCCCGCCGGAGCGGCGGGCTCCGCCGCCGCGTCCACCGGCTTGACGCGGGTGCGCTTCTTCTCCGCGGCGGCCGAGCGGCTGCGAGAGTTGCCGTCGGCCGCCAGCTCCGCGTTGTTCTCCGCGTTGAAGTAGCTGTGCAGCTTTTGCAGCAGCGCGAGCGTCGCCTGCGGCTGGCCCTTTGCGAGGAGAGGCACGTCGCACGCGGCTGCGAGCTCACCCGAAGGGTCCACCCTCTCGAGAGCCACGCTCAGGAGCTTCAGGTTCGCGATTGTGTCCGATCCCGACCGCATCGTCGCGAGCTTTCGGATCTCGACGCTGCCCGGCCGCGCCGCCTCGACGAGGTGGCAGAGCACGACGCCGGTCGAGAGCTCCTTGAGCTCGCGGCTGACGGAGTGGCCGGAGAGGGAGGCGGCCCACTCGGAGAGCTCCTTCCGGGAGGCAGTGGGCATCTCGAAAAAATCAGAGTAGACAGAGAGAGAGCCGAGCGGGCGAGCGCGGCGAGACGGCAAGAGCGGAGCAGTGCTCAAATGCAAGAAAAAGAATTCGCGCGAAGGAGGTGAGAGACGAGCTGACGCGGCCTCTGCGGGTAGAATCGGGACGTACGGACGAGCCGAGGACGATAGAGAGACCGCGGGGGCGGGCACGAGTCCTCGACCGAAGAGAGCCGGCCTCACTTCACGGGGAGGGGCGGCGTGGCGATCCAGTGCCGCCGCCCTCGCCCGAGGAGTTGGGCATGGGACCACCGGAGGTGGAGTCAACAGGAGCAGGCAGAGTGGGCGAGACGGCGGCGGGGCCGCGGCCGAAAAAGGCTAGGAGGGGGGGTCGGGCCCCGCATCCGTTGCCCAACCAGCGGAAAGCGAGTGGGGGGAGGACCGAGGGGATAAGAGGGCCCCTCCAGACCGAGGGGGGGGAGGCCAGACCGGGAAGCCTCGAGGGGTGACGTCGAGTGAGGATGTACGTCGTGTGCGTGTCTGGTGTTTATTAGCTCCGAGTAGAGGGGGCGCTCCGCTGCTAGGGGAAACCTGGAGCGCGGACTAACCCTCGGAGACCCGTGTTTACTTTACGGCCCTTTCCCTGCGAACGCGCACCCCCTGGGCTAGGGCTCTCTTGCCCGCAACCCGATGCCAATCATCCGGCCCGCTGGGTGCGCTTCTCAGCTCCCCGGCCCTGGGTGTGCGGTTGCCGACTGCACTCCAAGTGCTCCAAGTGCGCGCTGTTTACAAAAAAGTTTTCCGCTCGCCCGTTGGCGCTCCTCTACGCCGCGTCGAGCAGCTCCTTCCCGACGAGGCCCCTGTCCCTCGCCTCGAGCAGGTACTCTGTGTGCAGCGGCGTCGTGTCGGGGATCTCCACCTTGATGCCCGCAGGGTTGGTCCGCGTGCCCGCCATCTTTGTGTAGCGGTAAAAGTAGCCGCTCGTGAACGGGAACGCGCCGGCGTCCAGCCGCGTGGGAAGAAACTCCATCGTGCGCGCGTAGTCGGCGAGCCGATCGTCGAGCCCAGAGAAGAGGGAGACGGAGAGTGTGTACCGGACAAACGAGGCGAGCTCGCGGCACATCGCGCCGACCTCCTCGCCGTGCTTGCCCGCCACCTCGCCCATCGACAGGCCGCCATGCGCCGCGCCGACGAGGTTGTACGCCTGCGGCGGCCAGGCGAGGGGGGGTGGGGGTGGGGGGTGGCGGGGAGGTGGCGGGCGGCGGCGTTGACGGCGGCGGCGGATCTGTTTCCGTATCTTGCGCGCGGCGTTCGGACGTGCCTGCGACGTGTCTGTGTCGTGCGTCTGGGAACTGCCTGCGTGTCTGGGCTGCCGTGACATAGACGAGCTGCTCGCCCACATCTCGGCTAGATCCCGGTCGGATCTCGGCTAGACCTCGGCCAGACCTCGGCCAGATCTCGGCTGCATCTCGGCTAGATCTCGGCTGCATCTCGGGCGGCTGCCGTGACAAAGACGAGCTTCTCGAGCGTCGTGCGGCGCGCGTCTCTCTGGTTCGCCTCGCGGCAAAGGATGCCGCCTGATCGCGGACCGAACCTGTGACGAGACGCCGTTCACAGCGCGGGGCTGCCGGCGGTGGGCAATGGCGGCCGCGCCGGTGCCCATCCGCATCGCAAAGGCTCCTGCTCATGGACACAGCGGGCGGCGTCGTGAACGCGCCGGCGTCGGGGCGGGGATGCGGCAGCGTGCCGTGTCTGTGTTTGGAGCTGCAAACACACAGCAGTGCTGTTGGAATACGCGTTCCGCATCGAGACTAGCGCGCCCGACCACTTTCCGTGGACCCGCGAGAGGCCGTCGGTCGTGCCGGACAGGTCCGTCACGCGCCCGTCGACCGGCTTGCCGCCGCGCCGCATCAGCGCGAGCCAGAGGGAGGCCTGTGTGAGGCCATGGAGAGCGACAACTTCGGACGCCCGTGAGGAGACGCTGACGCCTCTGCGGTGGGACCGAGCGCAGTGCTGCGCGCGCCTGGCAAGGGCCGTAGAGGCCGTGTCGCTGGAAGAGCGGCTCGAGCTGGCCGTCCGAGAGGAAGACGAGGTCGTCGCGCTTCTCCTCGGGGCAGAGCTCGATCGCGGCGTCCAGCTCCGCCGCGGGCACCGCCAGGTAGACTGGGCCGGGGTGTCCCGACGGAATCGCCTCGCCGCGGCCGAGGACGACGTCCTCAAAGCCGCGCCGCTCGCCAAACTCTCGCAGCATCTCGCCGATCTTGCCGCCGCCCACAATCACCGACGGCTGGTCCTCAGTCGGCTCGATCTCCGTCTTTCCGAGAAGGAAGTCGAAATACTCCTGCGTGGCGCGGCTGTCAGAGTTGACCTGCAGAGTCGGCAGCCGAGAGCGCGAGCAGCGTCGTCGGGCTGGCGGTGATCTCTGCAGCGCGGAGGTGGCGAGCAAGCAGCCGGCGGCGAGAGACACCAGCAGCATATGTCTCCCGAGAAAGAATTTCGCCCCAACAAAGAATTTTTCCTGGTATTATCTGGGACTCGCACATCGGCACACCAGCGGAGCCGCAAGAAAAATGTGTAACTTCCAAAAGTTTTTTCCGTTTTTCAAGTAGGGGGCAGCTCAGAACACAGGACAGGTTCCCCCCCCCCCCTCCCCCCCTGGCCGCGCTATGTATCGATGAGCCGCCGGCGACGGAAGCACATCCGCCGACATTGAGCCAAGTCTCATCTAGTTACGGAGAGCCCGTGGCACCCCACGAAACCGTAGGGCCGCGGCGGCGAAGGCGACCCCGGGGACACTGATGGCACTCTTTTTTGACGTCGACTCCGATGCTACGCCGCTCGTGGCCAAGCCGCGGCGCTCCGTGTGGACGCCGCTCGCCCTCGTGGGCGCGGCGGCCGGCCTCTGCACACTGCTCGGCGCCCCCACCATCGGCCTCCTCCTCCTCTCTGCCAAGGGCGGGAATCGGCCGGTGTCCATCCAAGTGTTTGGCGAATCCGCCTGCCCGGACACGCGCGACTTCTTCCTCGGCCCGCTTCCCATCGCCGTGGCCGCCTTGGGCGACGCGGCCCAGGTGGAGTATGTCGGCTTTGGCAATGCCTATTACGACACGTGGGCTGGCTCCGTCCCTGCCCCCTCCGGCTGCAACAGCTCCGCCGCGTGCCGCTACAACGCGACGACGCGGGACAGCTTCTTCAACGCGTGCGGGGCTGGCTCGAAACACCCTCCCTCCTCGTGTTTCGAGGGCTCCCCGAGGTGCCAGCACGGCGCGAGCGAGTGCCTGGCCAACCGCGTGCAGGCCTGCGCCGAGATGAGTGCACCGTTTGCCGCGTGCTACTTCGCCGCGCTCGATGGAAAGACGCCGTCGCTGGGCGCGTGGAAGGCCGGCAGTCCGCCCGAGGACATCCTCGCCGTCGGCAAGAAGTGCGCCGCAACCGTGGGGCTCAAGTGGCGCAAGGTCGAGTCCTGCATCAACGGCACGCGCGGCGACGAGCTGGTCGAGGCTGCCGCCGCCCGGACTCCGACGCATGCGGGCGTGCCCTACGTGCTGGTCGACGGCAAGGAACTCAAGGAGACGGACGACGCGGCGGCCATTGTCCGCGCGGTGTGTGCCGCGGTTCCCGGCGGAGGCCCTGCGGTGTGCAACGCTGTGCCTTTCAAGCTGCCGCCGCGGACTGAGGAAGAGCGGCAGCGGGCCGAGCAGGAGCGCGAGCGCGAGGAGCAGCGGGCCGAGCAGGAGAAGCAGCGGGCCGAGCAGGAGCGCGAGCAGGAGAAGCAGCGGGCCGAGTACGAGCGCGAGCGCCAACAGCAGCGGGCCGAGCAGGAGAAGCAGCGGGCCGAGCAGGAGCGCGAGCGCCAACAGCAGCGCGCCGAGCAGGAGGCGGAGCGCGCCAAGCTGGAGCGCGAGCGCGAGAAGCGGCAGGCGGAGAAGGAGCGCGAGTGGCGCGAGCGGGAGGACGAGAAGAAGCGCGAGAAGGCGAAGCTCGACGAGGAGCGCGAGGAGGAGCGCGACGCCGACGCCGACCGCAAGCACCACGAGAGCAAGGACGCCGACGCCGACCGCGAGCACGATGACGACGATGTTGCGGAGACGGGCGACTCGGACGACGACAGCAAGGTGTCGGCTCTGCATCCCGCCCAGGACACCCCACTCCGCCCTGGACCCATTGACCACCGCGCCTGGGCCCTCGCTGCAGCACCACCATGACCACCACGACGCGGACGACGCCGACGACGCCGACGCGAAGCACGACGACGCCACGGACTCGGACAAGGACGACAAGAAGGACGACGACGACGCGAAGCACGACGACGCCACGGACTCGGACAAGGACGACAAGAAGGACGACGACGCCAAGGCCGCCAACCCCTTCCTTTCCCTTCTGCTTGCCTCGAAGAACAAGGACACTGGGACTTGCTGCTACAGCAAGACCGGCCCCTCGAACTGCGAGCACCCGCGCGACTGGTGCAACGAGAATGAGGCGAAGTGCACGGATTGCGGCGGCACTTTCTGGACGGCTGAGCAGATCGATGACTTCGAGCGCCGCAAGGTGCGAGATGCTGATCCCTCAATACGCCTCATAAACTCACAACAACGACTCGTCTCAGCGCCCCCCACCTTGTTCAGGACGAAAAGAAGGACCAAGACACGAGGCACGGCGACGACAGCAAGGACGACGACGCCGACCGCGAGCACGATGACGACGATGTTGCGGAGAAGAGCGACTCAGACGACGACAGCAAGGTGTCGGCTCTGCATCCCGCCCAGGACACCCCACTCCGCCCTGGACCCATTGACCACCGCGCCTGGGCCCTCGCTGCAGCACCACCATGACCACCACGACGCGGACGACGCCGACGACGCCGACGCGAAGCACGACGACGCCACGGACTCGGACAAGGACGACAAGAAGGACGGCGACGACGTTAAGCACGACGACGGCAGCAAGGACGACGAGCGCGCCAAGGATAGCGATGAGTCGGACAAGGCTTGAGAATGCTCATCTTGCTTCTTGGTGCGGAACATTGTTTACCCACTGCATCTCCGCGGCTCCGCTCCCGCCGGCGCGGAACAGCGCGGCTGTGCAGAACTGATGCGATGCGCGCTCAGCGCGAGCTTGCGCCATCGCGCGCATCGCGCATGTGGAGTGGTGTGTCGCTTGTGACGGCCGCTCGCTCCTCTGCCCGGTGCCCGCGCGCTTCGACACCCAGTTCACTTGAGTGTTGAGTCTTGACCAGCAGCAGGAGCACGGCACCCGGCGCCGCGTGTTTCACTGTTCGCTTGCCATCTATAATATGTCTAATGAGTAGTGTCACAAGTAATACCTAAAGAGTGTCGATATGGACATAGAACACGAGTAAAGCCGTACGGCTTTACGCGCGAGAGCTACGTTGTAGCCTACGACAGTGATCAGTGTGTACACGACACACCTGTATAGTACAGCTACAGGGAGAGATTAGGCGTGCGGTGGACTAACCCATTACCCATAGGTTTTACGGTCACAACTCACATTTTTGGCGAGGATTAGATAACGGCTTTTCGGTTTGTTTCGGACTTTCGCTACACAGCTTTCCGCGGACGACTGGAGTACAGAACACGACGAGTACAGTGCTGCGCCGGCATAGGTTTTGGATATTGCGCGAATCGTCTCGTCCGTCTGCTTGGTCGGCCGCGTAAGACCGTGTAGGCACGATGACAACGATAGGGTCAGCCGCAACCGCAGTTGTCGCCCAGTGCCGCGATCTCAGGATCGTTCTCCGCCATGAGGAAAGCGGCCGCCATGTTGGCAACATCCCACGGCCCAACGAAACACTCTCCCATGTCGACCTTCTCCATCTCCCCGCCCACCTTCATCAGCAGCCGCCCGATGTCGTCTTCGCCCGCCTCCCTCGCATCCGCGTACGCCTGCGCCGCCACGCTCGCCACTCGCACGTGGTCCTCCTGCTCGATCCACTCGTCGTCCAGCTTGGTCGCCAGCGAAGTCACCATGCGGGAGGCGACAGCAGCGACGTCCGCGGAAGCCGTGGCATCGAGAGGCGCGCCGCCCATCGTCGCGACGGCGCGCCGTGGCGGCTTCAGCAGCGACCGCGGTGGGAGCAGCGTGCTCCGCGAAGGGAGCAGCGCGCTCCGCGATGGGAGCAGCGAGCAGGCAGCGCCCAAGAACAGAAACATCAGATCACGCCTCCACAGAGCGGCGAGGAGTCCGAGCGAGATGGTGGACTTTCCAACGTGCTCCGCTGCCCCGGAGAATTTTTTTGTCTGCTTTCTTTCTTTTTCCGTTTGAGAATTCTTTCTTTTTCCGTGTATTGTTTAGTTTAGCACTCGACGCCTAGAGCCTTGCTCGGGCACGCACAAGGCGTGCAGGCAGGGCAGCCAGTGGGAGACCCGACACCCGATTGCACCGGGGCTGTGAAAGTTGGAAGGACGCACGTCGGACAGCTCACCATGGACGCGCACGCTCCCGCCACTAGGTCGCTGTTCAGCGGAGGCAGATTGGTCGGGCTGGCGGCAGCAGGACTGCTCGCCTGGACCGCGCTCATCGCAGCGCTCCTCGCGCCGGCGCGGCTGCCCCCTCGCATTGCTCCGCCAGCGTGGAGATCCGCGTCGGCGCTAGCGGCGGCCGCGGACGGTGCCGATGTGACTGACTTTGAGCGGCGGTGGTCGAACGAGCTGCTCGCCAGCCTAGAGGACTCTCCTCTGGACGAGTCGGCCGCAGTGACCGTGGCGGAGCTGCGGGCATCGCTCGAGGCTCGGGACCGCCTGGCCGCACCCCGTGGCAAGGCGGGCTCGAGGGATGGCGGCCAGCTGAGGCATCCGCAGCCGATCGCCGCTTCTTCGACTGAGGTGCCCAGCTATGACCCGTCCAAGGTGTCGGAGCTGGTCTCTGCCGCGAGTGCTGCCGCTGCCGCGACTGCCGCCGCCGCCGGGGGCGGTGACGGAGCGGCAGCGCTGCTCCGTGACATGTCTTCGGCGCTCTCAAAGCTTGACTCGGAGCAGCAGACGCTGCATGAGCGGCTGGCTACGCTGCAGCCGAGCCTGGGCAACTACAACCCGAAGGATGTCGACGCGCTCACTCGCGCGGCCGAGCTAGCAACCTCGCGCGAAGCGGTCAGTGGGGCTCTCCCCAACCTGTTGCGCGATTTGCGGTCGGCGGTGAAGGAGCAGGTCGAGAGCGGCAAGGAGCTCAAGGCGAAGCTGGAGGTGCAGTCCAACCTGCAGGCGCGAGCTTCGGCGCGGGCTGGTGTGCTGCGGGACCTCGTGCTCCGACGCGGCGACACGCGCGTCAAGCTCGAGGCGAGCCTCCACCTCACAAAGAGCAACGCCTCTCGCCCTTGTTCCACGCCTGGCAGTCGCCCAGATGCGGCCGCGTCGACTCGGCTGTGTGACCTCGAGCCCGCTCCCGCCCTCCGACAGGTGCTCTTCTCGGACCTCACCGAGGCGGTCCACGAAGCGGTCGACGCGGCGTCAAAGGGCATAGGGGTGCCCACAAAGCCGGGTATCGGGTACGACGCGCCGCCACGGCCGGCGTGGATCGCAGCGCTGGAGGAGCTGCGCTCGGCCAGTGGAGCGGAACTCGCCGCTTGCGACGAGACCAATCGCACGCTCTCCGCAGCACTACTGCAAGCCGAGTCCAAGGCTGCCGCCGCCGCTGCCGCCGCGGCGACTGCCGCCACTGCCGCCGCTGCCGCCGCCGCGACGGCCGTGCCTCCGGCGACGCCTTCCGCTAATGCCACGCCCCCCGCTGCTGTCGCTTCCACTCCCGCCGTCAGCACACTCAGTCGGACGACCGCGGCAGCTCCGGCTCCGGAGCCGGCTGGATTAGCAGCAGGTGCGCCAGCGGCGGTGCCCCTGGCGTCGGCGGTGGTTGCGCCAGCGCTGGAAGCAGCCCCGATTGTGGCGGAGCGACCCGCAGTGGGAGCGATAGCGGCGGAGCCGACAGCCGCCGCAGGTACGGCGGAGGCCGCCGCCGCTGCGGCCTTGCCTCTCTTTGACAACGCGGCGGCAGGGCACGCTGTGCCCACTTCGGAGACGCCTGCAGCAGATGTTGCGGTGCCTGCATGGGGAGCCTGAACAGAGCACTGTGAGGTTCGGCGAGGAGCCGTGTCCCTCCACAGGACTCTTGACTCCGCCACCCTGGCCAACCCGCACCTCGCCACACTCCCATAGCTATTGCCGCCTCGAACCGACATCCGTCTCCCCGTACAGTGAAGAAAGAGGAAGTCCGTACCCCTCACGCCACGAGAGCGCAGAGGCAGAGCGGTCAGAGAGGTGCTTTTTCCAAAGCGAGATGGGAGTAAAATGTGAGCCACGGTACGGGCCCGTAGCCCACCACTGGGGAGGCGCGGCGGGACAGCTGTGACAGCGCATCGTGGTCGGCTTGCGGCCGCGCGTCCAGAAGGAGAAGCCCAGCGCCCGCCCCACACCCACACTGCCCCTATACTGGCCGCGCAGCAGTCGCGCTCCCAATACGTGCATCACTTTTGTGACAGGTTTCAGACTTTGAGCGGGGCCATATCTCGGTAACTACATTGATGGTCCACCTGAAAACTCTTCGGATTTGGAACGGGCGCCCGGCGCCCGTTCGAACGGCGATGAGTTCTGAGGGAGGGTGTAGAGGATGTAGAGTGTAGAGCGCTGTAGAGCTGTAGAGATGTAGAGCGCTCTGGAGCGCTGTAGAGCTGTAGAGCTCTACATCCGGCGCTGGACGATGTGAGTCCGATGTAGAGCGATGTAGAGGCGCTCGACAACGTGAAATCTCTACAACAAACTCTACATCATAAGCGGCGAACGAGGCACGGTCGCTCTCCGACATTGAGGCGCGTTGCACTTGCCAGTGCTGCCCTGGCCTTCTGTCTGCCCGCCCAATGGGTGAGAGGTGCCTCTGCTGCTGTGGCATGCCTCACGGCTGCGACTGGCCGGCGCCTCGGCGCGTCAGCTCGGCTAGGTGTAGCGATAGTGGCCAGCGCAACTCGCCTGGACTCAACGCTCAGCCACGGAGCTCCCGCACGCGCTGGCGCTAGGCATGGCGCATGCAACGCGTCTGAATGCTCGCCTCGCCTCGCGCAAATGCGACCGTCCTCGCACACCGCCTGCTAAAGAAGCACAGCGACGAATGCGGCACCGGCGACACATGGCAGGCTGGTCATGACGCAGTTATAGGGTTTTGTGTGCCGTCAGAGTGACTCTCTGTGTGTCAGGGATAGTCAGGGCTGTCCATCAGAGCTCCAGTAAGCTCAGAGACACCCCATTAGTGCGACTCGACCTCTTTGAGTCACTGCCTTCCCGGCGGTTTGGCTGTAGAGCCTCTACAACCAACTCTACAGCAAAATCGCGCTCTACATCGCTCTACATCGGACTCACATCGTCCCGCGCCGGATGTAGAGCTCTAGAGCTCTACAGCGCTCCAGAGCGCTCTACATCTCTACAGCTCTACAGCGCTCTACACTCTACATCCTCTACACCCTCCCTCACGGGATGAGTTCTCCGGTGGACCATCAATGTTTACCGAGATATGGCCGCTCAAAGTCTGAGATCTGTCACAAAAGTGATGCACGTATTTGGGTGGGAGCGCGACTGGCAGTCGAAGCGGCGCCCCGGTGTCCGTACCGGCAGTGCACGCGGCCGCGCTCAGAGGCGCTAGCTGCGCGATCGCGAGAGGTGCCCGGTTGACTCGCCCGCTGTGGAGACTGGAGTCTCAGTCGTGGTTCACGCGGGGCTTGCATTGGGTTGCATGTCCCGCTCCTCTCGTGCTGGCACACACTCCACACTCTCTATATACGAGACCATGGGTGTGAGGTAAATCCACGCTACTTGACCTCATCGGCAGGAGGACCGGGCACTACAACCCCGGTCCACAAGGTCCACACACACCCGTACCCGCTAGGCGGACCTAGGACAAGCTCGTCTCCGCAGCCCGCGACCGCCTCTGCCGGATGTGCTCACACAAGTCTGCGCTCGAAAGCTCGTAGGTGCCGAGCAGAATCAAGACGTGGACTCCGGCGTAGCTCAGCCAGGAACGAACGGTGCGCCCATCGCCCCAGAGGAGGAGCCCGGTCGCCTGGTTGAGGACCAGAGAGCCGCAGGAGGCCATCGGGATGAAGGTGGCCTGGTTAAGCTTGACGGCCGCGACGATGCTCGAGGCGAGGTTGGTGCACGTTGTCAGCGCCAGGAGCGCCAGGACGAGGCCCAAGCTCGCCCCGTCGACCAGGACGAGGAGTTTGCCGAGGGTGGTCAGCGACGAGGTCGAGGTGGCCTGCGCTGCCACGTAGACTGCCAGTAGGGTGCCTTCTCCCAGCTGCACCCTCGTCGCGTACGCCCCGCCGCCAACCTTGTCGAGGCGTGCGCGGATCTGCCCTCTCTCGCGGTCGACGGCCATCCCCGCCACCGCAGCGGCCCACGCCACGCCCATGAATAGCACCCACAAGAGAGCAGCAGGGCTGGCCAGCTGCTCGGCGACCACGGCGCCGCCAGCGGCTGGCCCTGCGTCAACTAGCAGAGTGGTCGCCGTCGCGAGCACAAGCGTGCCAACCTGTTGCGACTTGGTGTACGACTGCATGCCCAGTGCGCTCATGAGCAGCAGCGTCCACAGCTGCATGCTTCCCATGTAAACGGGCAGCGTGATGGACACTGGGCCATACCAGGACGCAGCCGTCGAGCTGCCGCCGGCACCGATCTGTCCGATGGCATACAGAGCTAGGAAGCAGCCCTGCGTCGAGGCGGAGAAGGCATCGCCGTTTCGAGCCGTTCGGACGAGGTGCGCGGGGACGCGATCGACAGGAGGCTCAGCACGTAGCAGAGGGAGCCAAAGAGGGAGAGCGAGACGGCAAGCGTCAGCGACGTGTGGCCCCATTCCATGAGCGTGAGACCGCTAGCGTTCCGGCGGAGGCTGCCTGCTACGGTGCGCAGCTTGCAGGCACTTCACGTTGGGCACTGCGTGGCTGCCTGGCTGGAGAGAACTGGGCAGCTCCTGGCGAAAACGGCCGTGTGAGCGCGAAAAACTATTTTTTCGCCCGAGCTGCCGCACCATCCGGAGCTTGTAGCCCTTGTTTGTGCCCTTGGCACCGTGGAGTGCTGGGGGGGGCGACAGGGAGGATGTGGCCCTGAGTTATGTGTACGCCGACTCAGGGTGTGTGTGTGGCAGCCAGCTGGCTGTGTGTCTTTTGTGAGCCTGCTTGTGTCTGTGTGTCGCTCGTGCGTGTCGTCATCATCTGTCCAGCGTCCACCCATACCGCGTTGGTGTCCAGTCCGAGCCTGGCTGTTCTTCACCTTTCTACCTACCTACCTAGAGCTGTGCGGCCGATCGCGTAGAAGCCCCTCAGATGAGTGGTCAGATGAAGAGAGAGAGAGATTTTTAGCAATACCAAACAACTCTAACACTCACACGTCATTTGGGGCCTGGAGCCCTGTTCACGCGCGCTAGTGCCCGGGAGCGAGGAATCCGGAGGGGAGCACAAATAGGAGGCCCAGGGCCCAGCCAGCCTTGAGGCTGCCCAGCCTTGCCCTCGCTCGTGCCGCCTATAGTGCGCGTATCCTATGTGAGAGAGATCCCCTGTGCCCTGTTCACAGCCCTCTCCGCGCGGCGCCCCCCCTCCCTCTCTCTTTTGCAAAATCCTGCAAAAGGTGGGGACGTGTCTGTCCTCGACCCAGCCCTAACTGGCGCGCATCTGCCATCTCTCTGCCGGGTCGCCGTTAATCTCTCTGCGACTCTGGCACTCTGCCGCATGCATCCCAGTCGCCACAGCAACCGCCGGCGGACCTGCCACCACCAATTAGCTTGCACCGCCACTCCGCAATCGCGGCGACGGACCAACCTGCGTGAACCTCCCTCGCAGCCATGCTCCGCCCAGCGCTGCTTAGTGCTTTCCGGTTTAATTTTCGGGTTTGCATAAAACACCCGTCCCCGCGGCTAGGGTGCTGGATGAGGACGGGTACGATGCGCTAGCCCCCGCAGTCGGGGGGGTGTTGCCGGCGCTGGTAGATGACCTCTCTCGGAGAAGAGCCGGAGGGACCTTGGCGCCGGGGTCACGAGGAACTTGCAAGTCGTGGCCGAGGCGGCGACGGGAGCGGTGCAGAGGTGGATCCAGCTCAATGATGAGGCTACGGCGCGCATAACGAAGAGAGAGGAACACATCGAGTGGCTGAGGAAGCTCTTCGCTGGGTGGAAGGAGGCCCGGCCGGCCTCGAGGGAGTCACGGAGGAGGAGGGATAACGGAGGTAACGTGCGGACAGGCCAGCAGCCAGTGGGACGAACGAGGGCCGCGACGGCGGCCCAAGCGGGAGGGAGCGGAGACAGTGGGCAGCGAGCGAAGTGGGTGAGACTGATGATGCTCCTTCGACTTAGGGAGCGGTTTAGCTGCTGGGCGGGCTTCAGGGTGGTGCTCGCGAGAAAAGGAATCGACGCGATGTGCAAAGCATACAAGAAGAGGAGAAAGAAGGGGAGAGAGACCGGCGATGACGAAACAGAAGGCAAGCTAGCGCTGGCGAGAGCAGGGCAGACCCGGGAACGGGGGAGTCGGAGCAGACGGCATCGACCGCCGAGGGAACGTTGGGAAGAGGCACGAGGAGGGCGGCGACCTCAACCGACTATGGAGGACCCGTCGCCAAACGACGCAGGGCAGACGACGGGGAGGCGGAGCAGACGCGCAGGGCGAGACGAGGGAGGGAGCAGGACGTTGCGGAGATCAGCAGGAGGATGTACGAAGAGATTAAGAGCAGCAGGGACCCGAGGGACCCGCATGTGGAAGACGGCTAGTGCTAGTCCCCCGTCGGGAGGACGACCCCGGCTAGTCGCCCTACGCCGTACCATTACCCTACGCCGACCACACCCACAAAGAACCCTGCACTGTGCACGAAGATCGCACGGACGGGGACCTGTTCCTTTTTACCCATCTCGCAGTAGAGCGTAGAGGTGTTCGTTTTTCAGAGTATTTATTACCCCACGGCTCTAAAGTACCCACAGCGCACAGGCCAGGGTGTATATACGTGTAGTGGGTACAATGATGTAGTAGGTGTCCGGCGCTGTGGAGATGCGAGGGTTGCCACCCCTGCATGCCCCACCACGTTGTGTGTGTGGAGAATTTACATTACCCTTGTGGCAGTGATGCACAGACCACCTAGCAGACCACCCGAGACGTACCCGAGTACGTACCGCTCTTCTACCTCATGGCAGTCATGCACGGAACGAGTTCACCCTTTGCCGCACTAGCTGCCACGCGGCCGCCTCCCACGCCTGGAGCCCAGCGAGAGAACGGGGCAGCGGCGCCAGAAGCATGGTAGGGACGACGCACGCAACGGCCACCATGACTGCAAGCAAGCGCCATGCTCCGCGCCTCCGCGTCCCCGTCAAATCGATGTAGCTTCTTGCGGCGTACAGCACGCACCGTGCCGTCACGGCGCGCACTAGCGTCGGACAGAAGCGTGAATCGGCCAAGTTGGCGGCGGCACATTCGGTGCAGTCTTTTGGAGCGGTCGTCCCTGCGTACACCTTCGCCAGCACCTGATTCGTCGAAACGATCGTCTCTGCGGCTCGGGCGGCTTGGTGCAGCGCGATCTTTCGGAGCCCTCGCGGCGTGCTTGCGCCGAAAGCGGCGGTGGGAGGGCTGAGCGACGCGAGCAGACTACAGAGCGCGGAGATGAGCATGTACATGCGCACACTGAATTTCTTTTGTTCTCTGACTCCCGCGGACGCCAAACTTCCCTGCCTTCCCGACCTGTTCCTTTTTAAGTTCACACCTCAAATCACGGCGCTTCAGTCTGGGATCGCCCCCGCCGCCGCGTTGTAGATCGTGCTCGCTTCACATAAAACGCACAACTCCGGACCCAAGACGCACAAGCACAGACAGTGCTCGCTTCACCGCGCCCCAACAAACTCCCTGGCGCCTATCAAGCGTGGTCACGCCGCCCCTCGATCCCCGCCGGCAGGTTCTTGCGCGTGTATTCGAGAATGCCGTTCGGACTTCAGAGCAATTCCTTCTCGAGCGGGCACGGCACCGAGGCCAACGGCCACATCTCCACGGCGATGGGGATGGCGACCGTCGCGGGCGGCGACGTCTCGACGTCGATGGGCGTCGGCACCTACGCGGCCTCGTATGGCGAGGTGGCGATCGGGATGTACAACGAGGCGCCCGCCGCCGCCTCAACGCACGGGATCGCAAGCGCGGATGCGGTGCTGCGCGTCGGCACCGGAAGCTCGGCAAAGGCTCGCCGCGACTCGCTGCGCGTCATGAAGTCGGGCGCTGTCGTGGTGTTGGCGGCGGACGGCACCACGTTCGACGTCGCGACCGAGCTGGCTAAGATCAGCGCCGGAGCCGCACCATCGGTGAGCGCACGCCCTGCTCACACGATGACCACACGTCGCGTCTGCCTTCCCCCAACCGTCCTCCCCCACCACCACAGACGCCCAAGGCCGACCGCGTCGCGGCACTCGAGGCAGAGGTGGCCCAGCTCAAGGAGATTGTCGCGAAGCTCGTCCAGCTTGCGGGAGTCACCGACAACGGCGCAGGCCGCTCGAGCGAGGTCGAGCTCTCCAACGCGTAAAGCCCCTCCCCCGCCCAACTCCCCCGCGGGGGGTGGAGCAGGGTGCCGCTCCCCATTCCCCGGGGATGTCTCGTCGCTCGAGTCAATTTTGAGGACCCCGCGAGCGGCGAGAGGGCGCGAGCGAGGGGGGGCTGAGACGGGCGCGCCGCCGCACGCCGCCGTCGCCGCCCGGGGTAGGGCCATGTGAGTAGAGCGATGGGCCTCTCGCTGTATATTTTATGGCGACACTCCGGTGTGTACTCTCTCCGGTGTGTTGTCGTGTACATTTCATACACTCCCCACGATCTTCTCTCTCACAAGGCGTTGTCAAGGCTCATGAGTCATGTAGAGATGTACGGCTCAGCAGCTGCTCAGCCAGTGCAGGCGTGGGAAGCGGAAGCGCGCAGCGCAGAGCGGCGACCTCCTCCTCTTACCAGCTCCTCTACTATGGACGCCCATGATGGCGAGGGCCCCGACGAGGAGGTGGCGAGATGGCGGTGCGAGATGGCAGCGGCTGCCATCACCGACACCGTTGCGACGAGCATAGCCGGAACGCATAGATTGCGCAAGAGGGCTGTGCGCAGGCCAGCGCGGTGGCGTCCACCAATGCCAACACTGGCAGCCTCAATTCGCAGACTGCCATGGACCAGGCACGCCGGGCAGCAGAGGCGTGTAGAAGTCAGAGACACGCCCGGCTCTCCGCCGCTAGCTGTCTTGTGAGGACCGAAGTCTCTCCCTCCTCCGTTCCAAGTCCTGCTCCAGCGCCGCACCCGTCGGCACCTTTGACGCCCTCTGTGCTGCACGAATGGCCTCATACCGCTCGATCGCGGCTTGCTTACTCGCTGCTCTCTCCTCGGCGCTTGAAGAGGGCTCGCTCTGTTGGCGGTTCTGAAGCCCGGAGATGTAGCCTGCCGAGCCTGCCAGAACGGTTAGCGCCCCAAGATTGAGCAAGTATCTGGCCGCCGAGCCCGCCATCACTCTCTCTCTCCTGTTCGCGCGCGAGCCGATCCGAAAGTCCGCAACGTCCCTTCACACGTGGCAAGGCTGCTGGGGCGCCCGCTCCATCAACTCGTACGTAGAGCTCCGCCCGGACAGCCTCGTCCCGCGCCCGAGATGCTATCGTCCTTCTCGCCGTCGGCCGAGGCGCACCGCCTGGTCAGCCACCACCGTCTCAACCTCACCATCATGCCCGTGGAGCACACGGCCTCCTCTCGTCGATTTGCCGACTGCTTGGCCGGCGTCTCCTCCGCTGTGTGTGCGCACCGCCGTGCGCCCATGCGTGCCGCGCATCACGACACGAGGCCATGTTGGACGGCAGGCGGGACCATGCTCTCTCTCGAAAGCGTCCGCCAGCGCTCGCCTCCCACCGAGTCCACCTCCACGGAATCCGCGTTTGATATGGTACCACAGCCACCATCGGCTACATTCCGCTTTGCTCCTCACCTGCTTCTCGGATGCAACCACTCTCTATTCCACGACAAGCAGGCCCGAATCGGCGTGCTGCCCTGGGCGCGCGGCCTGCAGAGGAGCATTGGCCTGCTGAACTATTGCCGCACCGGCCAACATCGGGGCGGAGGATTGCCGCCGGCGCCGGCACCGGCGGTGACTCTCGATGTTAGTGAGGTCCTATTTGCAATAATGACGAGCGGCCCTCTTCTCGCGACGCGGGCGCGGCACCTTGAGCGTGTCCTCTATCAGCAGGGCGCCAGGCACGTCGAGCTATTTGCAGAAATAGAAGCAGAAAACACGACGCGGCTGCCAGAAGCGGCACGGCTGCAGGAGCTGCTGCAGTGCAATACCCGCCGAGGTGGCTGCCAGGGAGGCGTGTTGCATGTCGCGCAGAAGCACCTCGAGCTACTCTGGACGCTTGGCTCCCGAGCGCGGAGGCCGCATCTGCCACGGTGGGTGGTTGTGGCCGACGATGATACCTTCCTCTGGGTCAATCGCTGGGTCAAGGCGCTGGCAAACTTCAACGACACGCGGCCGCTCTTCGTTGGAGGCGGTGGGGCGCGGACACACATGTGTGGCCCGAGGCTGTGCGACAAAGCGCGCTACGTGAGCCAGTGGCGCTTCATTCCACAGGTGAACACGCACGGCGGCGGGATGGGGTATGCCCTCACCATGGCCGCGCTCCGTCGGATGCGCCACGCGCTTGCGCGCGGCGCATGTCTTGACACTAGCTTCGGCGACGCAGCCACGGGCTTCTGCGCCGCAGTGGCCGGAGTGCAGCAAGTGCTTCTGCCGGGAGCGATGATCAACAGCAACGCGGCTGATCTCATGCGGGCGGCGTCGCATCATCGCGTGAAAATGAACGTGTCGTACTATCGTGACCGACTCCTGCCGATCCGCGGGGAGCTGCTCTCCTACCACAAGCTGCTCCAGCAGAGCGGCAGCGAAACCATGCTCTGTTGGGCGACCCACGGAGAGTGCGACAAGCGATGTGCCGGACTCGCCACAGCGGCCGCTGCCTCTCGCAGGTCAACGTCGCTCGCGCTCGATCCCTTATTGAACACCAGTAAGAGTAACGGCTAAAGAGATAGGATTGGCTTCACAATCATCGTACATCGATGACAGTGTGCCACGGCACGCACCGCAGGCCCGCGTAGTACACAGAGAGCCCTAACCGCGCATAACGTATATAGATACCACACCCGTGCACTGCTGCACAGAGTAAAAGGTAAGGGGTAAGAGCGGGCGGTAAGAGGTAAACGTCTCCACACACACAAAGTGGTGGGGCAAGGGGGGGCGACCCTCGCATCTCCACGCCCGGGACACGGGCAGGAGCCCCACGGCATTCAAAGGGCAAGCACCGGCCCGGTGCCGTGGGTGAGCAACCTGGTCCTAGCAGACCTGCACCCCAGTCCCCAGACCCCACTCCCTCTCCCTCTCCCAGACACAAGTCACAACTGTGGGGGGTTGCTGCAGTACTCAGGTAATTTCTCGGTGCATCGTGTGTAACGTAATACGTACAAACACAGGTATTTTACAAAGTAGAGTAACCGGGCGGCGGCAGAGCAGCTGAGCTCTCCCGGCCCCACCTCCCCGCACCCGCAGCGCGCGCACCCGCAGCGCACACACAAACGGGTCAGAACGTACACATGCCGTCAGATCAGATCACGAGTCAGAGAGGGCGGGGACTCACGAACCGCACGGGCGGGCGAGGTCGTACGAGCCACCACACGCATCATGCAAACGAGAGAGAGCAGGTGCAGATGTAGACAAGCCGTGCAACCGGCGACAAGCGGCCCCGTCTCAGGCGATCTGCGTCACGGCGTCGAGGGGGCGCCCCCCCACAAGCCGCTTCTTGAGCGGCGGCTCCTCGGGCTGCACGTCCAGAGCGGGGCCCCGCATCTCCACGAACACCTTCTCATCCGCGGCGGCGACCACCTCGCGCGGCATCGTCGCGCGCCACGGGAAGAAGTGGGCGAGGAAGGGGTGGCAGAGCGCCTCGGACGGGGTGAGGCGGCGGCGAGGGTCGTACTGCAACATGCCTGCCCAGAGAGCGCGCCACAGGGTGAGAGGCCAGAGTGGTGGTGGTGGGCGAAGGGGATGAGTGGGTAGGTTTGGGAGGGGGATTGGGGGGGGAGGGGGGGGGGCGATCGGGCTCGGGTGCGCGTGCCGGTGACGAGGTCAAGAAAGAGCTGCGCCTGGCTGCTGCGCGGCGCGCCAAGCCGCTCCGTCAGCCGCGCGCGGAGCTGCGTCGGCGGGAGGGGTGGCGGCTGGTGCGCCACGAGGTGGTGCAGCTCGGCGTGGTACTTCGCGCCGTCAAAGAGGCCCTGCGGTGGTCGGCCAAGCAGCTGCGCAACCTGCCGCCGCGAGGGCGAGGCGGGGGGTGGCGGGTGGCGCGCCCAGAGATGGGAGACCGAGGGCTGAGGGGCGGCGGCGAGGCAGCCTGCTCTACGCTAGAAGGGGCCGACGATGCGCGCTCCATCGGGGGGCGGGGGGGAGGAGGGTGGACGGACCTGCACCGCGAGCCCGCCGCGCGACGCGGCCTGGAGCAGGTAGCGGCCGGCGAACAGCTCGCAGAGAGTGACCCCGAGCGACCACATGTCGATCCCAAAGCCGAAGGGGGCGCCGAAGATGACCTCCTGCGCTCGAGCGGGCAGCGCCGTCGCGCGCGCACGCGGCTCGACCTGTGTCTCGGCTGCATCTCGGCTGCATCTCGGCTCTCTCTCGGCTCTCTCTCGGCTCTCCCGGCTGCATCTCGGCACTGTCTTGGCTCTCTCTCGGCTCTCTCTCGGCTCTCCCTCGGTCCGGAGCTCGGTATCTCGGCTATATCTCGCGCCGGAGCTCGGTATCTCGGCTATATCTCGCGCCGGAGCTCGGTATCTCGGCTCTCCCTCGCGCCGGAGCTCGGTATCTCGGCTATATCTCGCGCCGGAGCTCGGTATCTCGGCTCTCCCTCGCGCCGGAGCTCGGTATCTCGGCTCTATCTCGCGCCGGAGCTCGGTACCCCAGCGTCTGGACGTCGAACGTGTCGTAGTACGCCTTTGACTGTCTCGGCGAACGACCGGCTGAGAGAGGCGGCGGCGGCAGCCGCGGGCACCGCCGTCTCGCCTCTCGCTCGGCGGCCTTGCCCTCGACCTCTCGGGCGGTGCCTCGGGATCTCGGCGGTGCCTCGGCGGCATCTCGGCTGCATCTCGGCTGCATCTCGCGCCTCGGCCGGCGTCA